TCTGCAGAACATTATTCCTTAGTCACAGCGTGTCCCTTGCCAACAAAAAATAATGTTCCCGGGGTCGGAGAGCTGTTTCAGCAGGTGATGTCTCTTGCCAAGGAGACTGACCACCTGAGTTCAATCCTTTGGATCCACACTGTGGAAAAAGCCAGTTCTGACAAAGTTGCCTCTGACCTCCACAACCCGCCGTGGCACTCGAGCACACGCAAACAAACATACGTGTTCACTTTTTTAAAAATGTTCTCATTAAGATAATTAATAAACAATCTCAAGGCAGTGGTGGTCCATGCCTTTAATCCCAGCACTCGGGAGGCAGAGGCAGGCAGGTCTACAAAGTAAGTTCCAGGACAGCCAGGGCTGTGACACAGAGGAACCCTGTCTCATGCCAAAAAAGAATTAAAACCATGTGTGTGGGTTTGTGATACGGCCCAGTGGTAAAGGGCTTGCCCATCCCAGTAAGTGGGGAGGTGGGTGGGAGCCCGGGGGACAGGACACATGAGACAAAATTTAAAAACCTGCCACCCCTGTAATCGTACTCAGACTACATAATGAGTTCCAGGTCATCCTTGGCTACAGAATGAGGCCCTGTCTCTAAATTAATTAAATAAAAACTGTAAAACCCTGTAAGAAGGGGAGGAGAAGAGAAAGAAGGGGAAGAGAAGAAGAGGAGGAGGAGGAGGAAGAAAGGATTAAAAATCCGTTTACCCAGACATGGTGGTTCACTTTCAGCCCTCTGGGAGTCTGAGGCAGGGGGATTGTAAAAGGCTCCAAGTCAGCCTGGGCTACGTTGCAAGACACTATCCCAAAAGCAAACCACCCAAGGGTGCTTTATTTTTATAGCACTGGAGATTGAAGCTTGGGGCGTGCACATGCTCCATGACAGCTTGTCACTGAACCGAGATTCCCAGTCCTTACAGCCCTTCAGGCTAAACTGTACCAGGATCATTGTGACTGGGCATCATCCCATCAGCCGGTGGACAGCTAAAAAAAGTTACTAGAACACAGCCACTAGCCCTGGATCTGTCCTGCCACTTTGGACAAATCACAATTCCTTGAAGACTGTTTCCTCAGCTGCCAAGAAAGCATTTAATATCATGTCTATGTGACCTAAAGGTCAGGTCAAGAAGATAAGCCCTTTGTGATCAAGCCCTGCCAAGACGCAAGCGGAGTCATTTTTTTTTCTGCTAGTGCATTTTGAATATGTTTTTCAAGCCCCGAAGTGGCAAGAGCAGGGGCAGCTGCTTCTATGATTTCGGACCTTCAACTAAAGTTCGCTCCTTTGTTATAACCGCATGCATTTAACTCTCCTAGGGGCAGAGGCTTTGTCAGGTTCTGGCTTGTGCTTCTAAGTGATGTGTCCGCGTGTGCTTGTGCATGTACTCACTCAGCGATGGCTGTGAGCAGGATGCCACGAGATAATCAATGGGAATGAGCCTGCTACACAAAGAGATAAGCAAGAACAAAGGTACCATAGAATTCCAAGAAACACATGGGAGACCAGTCAGAAGTTCACAGTCATCGGTGGCAACATAATGAGTAGGCGCCCAGCCTGGGCTACAAGAGACCCTGTCTCAAAAAAAAAAAAAAAAAAAAAAAAAAAAAAAAGAGCCAGTGTGGGGGTGCATATCTGTAATCCCAGCAGAGGATCTCAATAAATTCAAGGCCAGCCTGGTTTACATAGCAAGTTTCCGGCCATCAACAGCTACACAGTGGGGGAAAAAGGAAAAAAATCCTTGACATGTAAGCAGTAAGCACAGTAGGTGATGAACGGCCCCCACGCTGTACACAGATCAGGCTAGCTTCTTGTGTGGGAAGGCACTGACTCCATTTTTCTGTTGTTTCACCATTGGCTGCTCTCAGATCCCATTCCTTTTTGCCTCCACATCTGGGACAGCTGTCTTAGAAGGGAAGTTGGAGGTCATTTGGTGAAATTGTAATTACCTAGTATGTGTGAGGCTCTTGCTCACCCTCAGCAGGATGCAGGAGAGATGGCTCAGCTGTGGAGAGCACTTGCTGTTCTTTAGAGGACCTGGGTCAGTGCCCAGGACCCACGCCAGGTGGCTCCCAACTGCCTGTAACTCCAGCTCTGCGGGACCTGACACCTTCTAGTTTCCTCTGGTGTCCTCCCTCCTACACCTACAAACAAACACACACACACACACACACACACACACACACACACACACACACACACACACACAGATACATCTTCAAAACAAAAACAAGCAAAATTGCCAGCAAAATTCTTTGCTGGCAGGTGACTCCCATCTAGACCAACTCATAACCACAGTAAAGGCTAGGGGGCTTGTCGTTCCTGACTCAGCCCACTCCTTTATTTCACCTTGCAGTCCAGACTGGCCTGGAGCTCACTATGTGGCAACCTCCCACAGGCTAGGACTGCAGATTTAAGTCACAATGTCTGGGCTGTAATACGTTTTTCATTGGTGTGGGAAATAAATGCATGAATGACACTAGGAAAGTCCCTTACAGGACAGTCTGCCAGGGTTTATCAACATACACAGAGTACCAAGGTCATTCTACTTAAGATACCTATCCTAGGGAGTAAGGGGTCCTTGGAGGTAGATTGGCCAGTTTTATTTCACACTGGACACTATAGCACCCATCATGATACCTCGGCAAGTGTGCAACACACACACACAGATATGTTGGCTGAAAAAATGCAGATATATCTGTATGCTCATTCTGGTTACTTACAATTTAAAAGCTGGTACGGCACAAGATCCATCAAAAAACTGCCAAAGCTGGGGCTGGAGAGATGACTCAGTGGTTGAGAGCACTGGCTGCCCTTCTAGAGTTCAATTCTCAGTACCCACATGGCAGCTCACAACTGTCTATAACTCCAGTTCCAGGGAATTTCACACAAATGCACATAAAATCGAGTCAAATAAAATTTTTAAAAACTGCCAAAGAATTTGTGGAATGATGCAGAATTAAAAATTTTATATGACTTTAGAATGATGCTTAAGATCTATTAAAGAAAAAAAAGTGGCAGACAAGTCTCTCAGAGAAGTACACCACAGCCATGCTTTCAGGTGTCTTACTTTTCTGAGTGCTTTACTTTTTCTCTCAAACTCTAAGCTTACATACATACATACATACATACATACATACATACACATATAAAATTAAACCCCAACTCTACTTCATACAAAGAAGATACAGTTCATGGAAAGTATCATCCAATTTTACTTAAAATATACATAGAATAGACACAAAAAAAATCGGGAGAAAGTTTACAAAGTGAGTATCCTCTGGAGCCGGGCACATTCTTCAAAGACATCAGTGGACATCTTGCTACCTTATCGTGGTACAAGAGGCCCATGAACCTGCACGTGAGCCCAGTGCCTTAACACGGGTGGGACAGGGGCAGTTCAGCGGGCAGCTGGCTAACAGAAGAATCTGAACCCCCTAAGTCCATAGCGGCATACCCTACCACACAGAAAAGGGTAGGTTTTCAGTTTTGCTTGTTGGTACAGGCAGGCTCTTACAGTGTAGCTTGGTGCTCACTCACATTGTATGAGGGTGACTTTGAATTTCAGGCAACTTTCCTGTGTCAGTCCCCAGCTCTGGGATTCCAGGGATGCATCACACAACCAACTACTTAATTTTCTGGGACACACACACACACACACACACACACACACACCACATCACATTGATCTTATTTCACAAGTCAAGTCACAATTTTACATCTGTATATTCATACTATAAATTACCTTACCTGGAATGTGGGGATGTCAGAAAAGCCCATCACACCCTTTAGAATTGTCTTGGTTTATTTGTATATCTCAATTTGTGTAAATTTTAGCAGAAGGAAATCTTTATCCAATTTTAATATTTTTTAAAACTTTTTTAGTATTATCTTTAAAGTATGAAGGAAGGGACCAGGAAGATGGCTGGGAGGGGTAAGGTGCTTGCTTGCCACCAAGCCTGACCACTTGAGTTCCACTCATGGGACCCCCCATAGTGAAAAGAAACACATCCCAGATTGCCTTGACACCCACATGTGGGCAGTGGCATACCCCTACCACCAATATGTACATCTTTAGAAATGTGAGTATGAAGAAAGGAAGAGAGGCGGCAGAGAAGCCAGGAGCTGCATGAGATTGGATAATACCGAAAGGTTTTTAAAATGCAACCCAGAGGGTAGGAATGCAGATCAGTTGGTGGAAAGTTTGCCTAGCACGCATGAAATCCTGGGTTCAATCCCCAGTGCAGAATTAAACTGGCTATGGCGGCACATGCCCGCAACCTCAGCCCTCAGGAGGTAAGGCAAGAAGATCAAAAGTTCAAAATTATCTTCAGCTATACAGTATTTGAGGCCAGCCCGAGCTACATGAGCTAATAAAGACCATAAAATGATCAGTAAAAGCAAGTTTGTGTTTATACTTCCACACCATCCTGGGCGAATCAAGCAGAGCTGCTGCTGTCACTGTCTGTAGGGAAGCAAGTCAGACCCAGGATGGTTTTTGAAAGCTGGTCTTTTTATACCCCAAACAAGCAATAACCAGAGAGAGCAACAACTCCCTTTTCAGGGCTAGCAATGTAGTTCATCTAGTACGCCAGCACAAGAGGCCCAATGCACACACGCCTGCACCATGCGAGGCACACACGCCTGCAATCCCAGAAACGGCAAGTGGAGCAAGATCAGAGACCCAAGTTCATCTTGGGTACATCCTTGGCTACACATCAAGCGTGGGCAGTGAAGGCTAAGTAAGACTCATTTATTTACATAACACACACATACACACACATATAAAAGTGAAGGCTAAGTAAGGCTCATTTATTTACATAACACACACACACACACACACACACACACACACACACACACACACACACACAAAACCTTGACTATCGTGTTTTACACTGACCAATGGTTCTGGATCAAGCAGCTGGGACTGCTTCCCACTATCACAGAGCCTTCCCTTTTGTATCTACCAAGGAAGGACAAAAAAAAAAAAACTTGAAAACAATTAAAAGGATTTAAAAATTATTTATTTTTATTACAATAAATAGCAATAGAAGAATTAAACAATTGAAAACTAAAACCTACTGCTTTACTTTTGGAGTTCACAGCAGCAGACATGAACATAAATCCAGTTAAAAGGTCAAGGCTTCTAGAATCCGGTGACATGAAACAGGTCTTGATTATCTGGACCAGCAGCAGGGAACAGTAACACAAATAATGCAAAAGTCACATTCAAATGCCTTGGAGTACTCTACTATACATCAAACCACAAGACTTGGAACATTCTAGTAACGTTAAGCAAGCTGCAAAGCTCTGCTTTGGCAAAAGCAAGTATCTCCCCGATGGAGTCCACAGGCGCACTGCTCCCAAAGCTGCCTCCTAGTCAAAAAGGGCCCAGCAGACCCAGAAACCTAAACCCTGAGGATAGCAGCGGCATTCTTGGACCCAGTCTTTCTGGCTCACAAGTTCCCTGGTGAAAAGACATGGAAAGAGATATACTTAGGGGGTTTTCTCAAGGCCTGAGATGACCAGGGTGTTGGGGTGATGTTGGGGGTTTATGGCTCCAGGTGGGGAATTGGATTTAGATGTGGACCATAGACACACCAAGTCCACACAAAGCAACAGTCTAATGAGGGTTAGTTACCACCTGGCTGATAAGCAAGAATAAACTCCATGTAGATACCGTATCGTATATACACACAGAATAGGTGTACATATTAAACGTGTATATATACAGACAGAATAGGTAGGTGTACATAGTGAATATATACACACAGAATAGGTGTACATATTAAACGTGTACATACACAGAACACATAAAACCAGTAAACAAATGCTACATTATTTACTATTAACACAGCAAGGCCTATGCAGACCAGCTACAATAAAAAATACTTAAAAAGGACATAAAATCGTTCCTCTTTCATCTTTATCTCTTCATTCTTCACAGCAGACACGCCCCACCCACTCCAATGCTGGTTTCTGGGTGCCAGGCAAGGGATGGAATTTACTCTTGCTTCGGAAGACTACAGAAAACCTACTGGGAACAGCACCAAATTAAACTCCCCAGCCACAGCTCCTGCCATACATTCTTAGCGTAGAATGTGAAACTTACTTTCCTTCACCTGCCATCCATTTAATCCGCTGCTGGGTGGGAAATGAGATGTCCTCCCTTATACACTGGTCATTACTGGCTTCCACTTTGCCCAGAAAGGGGAAACAATTCTTTTCAAACTAGAATTGGGAGTTCAATACTGAATTCTGCTTTCTTGGGACATTTTGAAATGAACTAATCATTAGCCTGTTGATGAATAACAGTAATTCTAACAGATCATTGATATGGCCAGGTTAATACAGGCCACTTCTGTAACCTGCTTAGTTACCTCAAGTACAAAATGAACAAACTCCAGGTCATGAGTTTTCTTCTCTAGATATTAAAAAAGTGCTTACCAAGAAAATTGCAATTGAAAATTCATCAAGGATTATTTATGAAAAACCCAAATTCAATGCTTGTTTTGATTGGTACCCAAAGAAACTGCTTAAAAGATCTTATAGCCAACGTGATAGAAAACACCCCTGGTATTCAGTCACACCCTAGGTAGCCAATGCCATCTTTGATTTCAGTTTCAGAGCTGCTGAAGTGGACACTGGCATCTCTTTCTATTTTTAGACTCTCAATGGCCATGATCCAACTGCCATAAAAACTGCCCAACTGACTTAGGCCAGCTTTCTAAGAAGGAGTCTCTGAAAGGGAAGCCCAGAACCTTTCTGCTCCCCACAAAGGTGTTTTCCTAGAGACAAGCCCTTATCAAATAAAATCAGTCTGAGTGGCATTTTCAATCCTGGGAACCCAGCCTTCCTCACTGAATGAACAAAACCTTGTTCAGTCTGCCCCTGGGAGAGCTCCCCAATGGCAAAACTCCTGCCACCATAATGTGAGCTTGTCAAATGTCTATAAAAAGAACATATCCCTGCTTAAAAGCCAGGGACGAGAGCCAGCTGGTGTGTTGTCTCTTAAGAGCAAAGCTCACTACTAGCATGCAGGTTGGAGATAAGGGACATTTAGTTTGTGCTGTAACAACACTGGAAATAAACAAGACAGAAAACCCAGCTCCCATGGCTCTATTTGAGAAAGAAATAAACACATCAGCACTTTCTCTAGAAAAGTTAGACCACCATGATTCGCCATGTACCCCGAAGTCACTGTCTGTCATGCTGTCAGTCATTTATACGACTGCCACAGATTAAAAAACAAAACACAACAAAAAACAACCCCAAATATACAAATCGCATGTGTTACACAATCAATCACAGAAAAGCAGAAATTTATGATAGCTTTGAAAAATTCCCACAGCCTCACACATTCAAGTTTCACAGTGATTAATTTAATACCATTTTACCATTAGGAATGTCATTTAAATGCACGTCCAAGTGCTTCAATGCAGCACATTAGGTAACACTCCTTCCCTAGGCTGGAGTAGGGACAGCTAACTATAGTAAGATTACTCACCCACAGGATGTTCAAGATAGGACATGCTGCCTTAAAATGACAGAAAATTCTGGTCTGACACCACAGACTTCTGACAGTCAAGCCCAGGAGTGAGTCAACAGAAGGCCACTGTGAACATAGGCATCATCACAACCAATACAATTTCTCTCTCTGTTTCTGGCTTATTGGGAGACCCAAACTCAAGAGTTATGGTCCACAGGCTTTACTTTCTCTCTGGGGTTGTTCCTAGTCTTCAGCAGCCAAGTCAGGGCTCAGTGAACTGTTTGCCCTATGAGGTGGCTACACGCAGGTTTCAAGCTAAAATATAAAAGGAGAAAGTACACCGGATGGTGGTGGCACACGCCTTTAATCCCAGCACTCAGGAGGCAGAGGCAGGTGGGTCTCTGTGAATTCGAGGCCAGCCTGGTCTACAGAGCAAGTTCCATAATAGCCAGGGCTATTATGCAGAAAACCTTGTCTAGAAAACAAACAAACAAAAAACCAAAATAATAAATTTAAAAAATATCTTTTTATTCTTCATAGGTCATGGAGCTGAAGTCTGCTTGGGGAAGCAAGGTGCCATCCACACACCTTCTGACTACAACATTTTCCCTTAACATCCACTCCAAGTCATGAGCAACACTCTTGGCAAGTACTTAGCCTGTGCTAACCCAGACATACACCCCTCTTCCCAGTGCCTTGGGAGAGAACAAATGGCAGGATTAGCAGTGGTACTGTAATATTTTAAACCATGTTCAACATCTTTTCAAAATTGGAATTAAAAGTATGTCAACCATAACATTGAAATGCCAAGGAAGAATGGTTATATTTTTACTTCAAAGTTTCTCTAGTGCTCTAAAACCTATGAACTATTACTATTTTTCTAGACGGTGATTGTGGCAATTTCAAACACTGTGCTGAAATGAGATCATCAGTATCATTTACAGAACAGAGGTGGCAGCATCTATCTAAGTATTGTTATGTTTTCCTGACCCACATCCTCTCAGACACAGGGAGATTATTTTCTGACAAGCCTGACAAGGATTTTTCATAACATAACCTTCTAAAGGTAACAGGAGTTCAGCAGAATAACAATGCAAACCCCTAACCTGGCGAAGGCACTCACTCTATTCCACAAGTACAGACAGGATGAATGCAAGCCCCTGATCGCCATGCCGCTCCCCAAGAGGCAGCTCTGTGTCACCCTATTTACACTGGGGAGGTGTAGAGGAAGAGGTGTGACAGAGACGCACAGAGCTCCTGAGAACCAGGTCCCACGCCCGCTGCTGTACCGCTACAATGAATGGGTCTTTAAGATGCACCATCAAGACACAGGACACGAGCCGGCTAGGAGGGAGGGACTCGTGAGTCCACAGGGTTCTGAAACACTGGCTGCTCAGGTTCCCTTCTCCGTTAGCAGCCTCCTCTTCCACTCAGCAGCGTCAGCAAAACTATCTACAGTAGAATTCTTTACATGTTAAACACAAAACAAAAGGCACAAAACATTTTTCAAATTCACTTGATGGAACAAAAAGAGGACAAATACATTTGGGAAAAAAAGACCCCAAATTACAGGACATGATGCTTCAGTATACTGTACAAAGTGAAGAAAGCTTGTGGTCCAAATTCATCATCTTATAAATATTTTCGGTATTTTCCTTTATACAAATAAATGTTCTTGAGTACAAGGTCAAGAAAACAGTAAAATGATTAGCCAAAAACCTTATAACCAAGCTCTTTCCCAATTCTGGTTACCGAATTCACTTCTACAGAGCTCGAGTACACCAGACAGTTATCTTCATGTAAATGGCTTGTTTACTGACCTCCATGATGGCGATTTATTAATGAACACAGGAATTACTATCTACTTTCTACAACAATTTCTCATTGATTTTTTTTCTTTCAGTTTTAGTCTCAGAAAAAAAGTCCCCAAACACACAAAGCCTTACAAACAATTAAAACTGAGCACAGGACCATGGTTAGCTCCTAGACTCATTTTCAACAGCCTGGATGACAATGATTAGAATTTAAAAACATTCAGGTGGAGTATCACTTAGTTACTTTTTACAAAGCAGCAGACACAAATCCAACAAAGGAATGAGCTACAATACTTAAGGATGGTCATATTCATAGGTAAATAACAGTTACGAATTTAATTACATATCAACATAGTGGTGCCTATCTTATCCAAGTGCAACCTGCCCAAAAATAAAAAAAGGGGTTTAAGACACACTCTTCATTTAAGCACAAATCTTATTCAGTGGAAAATAAAATCAGCAAGTAAATTTCACCACCACCAAACTAAAGGCAAAGTCCAAAGAAAGAAAGCGTCCACATTCATAAGAAGGTGACATTATGAGATGGCCACAATACGGTGAAAGAAAGGGAGTTTTGTGTTGTCAGTAAACCTCAAAACTTACTGAGTCAACTAAGGCGGGAAATATGCTCAGCAAGGCAAACACATCAAAGGTTTTCTTTAAATGGGGAGGTGGGAGAGTCAGGGGAGAGAGACTATCTCTCTGCCTCATCCCTGGTGAGATTAAAAACCACGGCACCTGACCCCGAGGAGGAGAGAGAAATCGAGCAAGCGAAGACAGACAGGCAGCGCCAGGACGTTAACCGTGATCATCATGAAGCTCTGAGGTTCCTAACTCCAGCTTAAACTTCCTCTCACAAGGCACTTCACCCCACCCTCATGAGTACCCCAAGAATGGGACTGACAGCCTCCAGAATCACAGCTCATAGGCACCCACTCCTGACAGGAGCAAAATCACAGCTCACAGGCACCCACTCCTGACAGGAGAAACACCACGACTAACCCATGAACTGCGCCACAACAGTGAGCTGTAATTACAACCATTCAACACTAAGTAGCAACAGAACACTTCTCTCTAACAGAAAATTAACCCATTTATGGGCATTTAGCCACACAGTAAGAGCCAGGATACCAGACAACCTCTGGCAGTTCACGGGAGAGCAACCAGGATTTGGCAAACTGCACACGGTTCGGCAGTCACTGGTATCTCTGGTCAGAGAGACTTTTTTGACGCTTCTCTACATTAGATTTGGGCTGTCAACCATTTCCACAGCTGAAGGCCTTTTATAAAAGTACCAAATCTTAAGACATGCTGTGGCTATCTGAACGCCATTAGCGTTCCTGAATCAATCTGGGGACTTTAAACACAGGAGTAAAGCATCTTTAACTCTATGAGTCAAAACAGTATGAACTCATGAAGCTAGGAACATTTAGCTGGTTTAATGTACACTGTTTAACCAAATGTCTCATGGTTTCATAAAAAAATAAAGTTGGGAGTTAGAAAGTCCAAAGTTCCACAAGCTCAGATCACGTTCACTCTCGCCGTCCACGCGCGTACACTGCGACTGATCCCACAGTTGTCAAGCAGACCAGTTTAGTTCAATGGTGATGGATGAGATATTTACATGCATCTATTTACAGTACTTCCTGAAGATTACAGGCCGACATTCTTCTCTTCCATTCCTAGTCAATCTGAGTTTGGTTTCCTCAATGAAAACGGGTAAATCTGAAAATGGTTGCTCAGCTGCTTCACCTACAGAAAAGCAGAACACACGACAGTGACAAACAGGCCACTGATTCTTCTGCAAACGTACTCAGAACTCACCCTCTGCAGACAGTGGTTTACTGAGAGTAAAACTGCCAGGAACAAGAAAAGTTCTGCTAAACCAAATTCTAGTCTTTCCTCGAGCCTTCTAGAGCAGATAAATACATCCTCAAACCTACTGAGAAACTACAGGAAGACCTACCACAGCTCATAAAGAAAACAACTACCTTGATAAATTAGTATTTAGTTTCCTATAAAAAACTTTTAGGTACTGCTTCCTATCCTGGATAGAATAGAAAAAAATCAGATCTGTGACTCTGATGGCTATATTGGCTAGGGTATCCCTGGCAGGAGACAATTATTTGATAGTTTTCATTTATATGTAAGTCAAGGTTTTGTGTGGTTTCTGGTTAGAAGTAGTAAAGAACCAGGCATTGGTAGCACACACCTTTGATCCCAGCACTCGGGAAGCAGAGGCAGGAGGATCTCTGTGAGTTCGAGACCAGCCTGGTCTACAGAGTGAGTTCCAGGACAGCCTCCAAAGCCACAGAGAAACCCTGTCTCGAAAAACAAAACAAAGAGCACAAAGATGGACAAGAAGGACACTGTTTTTGTCAGCATGTTCATTTCCAGATTTCTTAAAATTGTAATTTATTTTTAGGTTTAATTATTTGTGTCTATGGGTATTGCTTGCATGTCTGCCTGTTCATCGTGTGTGTTCAGTGTCCAAGAAGTCTGGAAGGAGCATCTGGTCCCCTGGAACTGGAGTTACAGATGGCAGTGAGCCGTCTTGTGGGTGCTGGGAATGGAACCCAGGTCATCTGGTACTCTTAACCCCCGAGCCATCTTTCCTGCTCTCCATTTCCTTTTTAGATCTATTTGAGGAGAGGGTACACGTGCCACAGCACGCATGTGGAGGTCAGAGGACAAGTCTGTTGAGCCAGTTCTCTCCTCCCAACTTTACGTGGGTTCCAGGGATCATGTTCACGTCGCCAGGCTTGCGGGGCAACAGCCGTCACCTGCTGAACAATCTCATAGGCCCTACTGTCCAGGTTTTAACAAGGACTTTGGACTACGTTTATAATGTAAAAAAGACCGTGAAGCGGCAGTGGGGCTCACGAGTAAAGTGCTTACACAGCATGTGTAAGGCACTCGTTCAATCCAGCTACTGGGGCTCGAGAGACGGCGCAGTGGTTAAGAGCATGTATTGTGCGTGTAGAAGACTGCAGTTCAGTTCCCAGACCCACACTGGGCAGCTCCTAGCTGCTGGTAACTCCAGCCCCACAGATCCACAGGACCCGATTCCCTCCTCTGGCTTCCACAGGTACCACCCGCACATCACAAATCCACACGCACAAAAGAGATGTGTTCTGGTGGACACAGTTTCTAAAGAGGTGTGGTGACTCACCTTTACTCCCAGCTCTCAGGAGGCAGAGGCAGGTGAGACAACTGTGTGAGATAAAGGCCAGTCTGGTCTCCAGTCAGTTCCAGACCAACCAGGACCACACTACATAGTGAGAACTTGTTTTGAAACTACAGACACATGTCACACTCAGGATCAATGAAAAGCAAGATAATGCCCAAGAACACTGGCATAAAGCATATGATAACCCTTTATAAAAAAAAGACAAGCAATTATCTGACATTACAGTTCATCAGGTTTCTAACAACAATAATTCAAAAGAAAAAAATGTTTTGTTCATCAACTGACTCTCAGCAGGGCTCCTTCCAAAACAAACGCAGGGAGTAGACACTAGGGCTGCAGCGTGGACACCCAGTACACCAGCCTACCCCTGAAGGTACCCTCTCAAGACGACACAATCAGAGTGTTTCAATTTATTCATACAACACTGCAAAAATTAAATCACTGGGTAATAAAATAAACTGGTTAGGACTAGTAAACTGACTGACTGTTGGTGATCTCCATGGTGGAATACTATGCAGCAACGACTAAAGTATGTAAACTAACTAGAAAACTAGTTAGAGAGGGAGGGAGGGAGAGAAGGGCACATGGTTCTGACATTATTGTATCTGTCCGTTCATCCTGAAATGACTTCTTGTTTTGGAAGAGAGCATTGGGTGTACCGAGCACTTGTTTAATGGCTGTGGTTTCTTGAGACAGGGTCTTACCATGCAGCCCGAGGTAGCCTCGAGCTGTTTTCTTGCTTCTTCATCCTTAGTGATAAAATAACAGCAAGGCTCTGCCACACCTGGAAAAATACTATTTCCCTCTACATTTTTTCATTATTTGACGATAAAGGTAAAGGCTCGTGAGATAAAAACTGAAACAACACAAATGACTTCCTCAAGTCTAAAACTAATCTGCCTGTGCTGACCAGTTATTTCTCTTTTTTGAACTTGACAAGTTAGAGTTACCTGGGAAGATGGGCCTCAACTGAGAAACTGCCTCCATCAGACTGACCTGCGGACAAGCCTGTGGTTCATTTTCTTGACAGTGACTGATGTGGGAGGGTCCAGCCTACAGTGGGTGGTGCCACCCACGGACAGATAGGCAGTCACTGGTGCCACATGAAAGCAGACTAAGTAAGCCACTGGGGAGAAAACCAGTAAAAAGTGCTCTTCCAGGTCCTCTGCTTCAGTCCAGGTTCCTGCCTGACTTCCTTTGATGATGGACTGTGCTGTGAAACTATAGGCTGAAATAAACTCTTTCTTTCCTGAGTTGGTTACAGTGTTTATCACAGCTATCAAAACCCTAAGAAACTGACTGCCCTTCTCCGTCTCTCACACGATTAGAAATAGACACGGGTGTACTATACACCAATGTTACTTGTTTTCTCCAAACTAAATTCGTAAGCAATAAAAATGTCCTAGGACTAAAGAGGCGAGAAACAGAAACTAACAGGATTATTTGGTCTCACATAATGAAAAGCATTGCAGTGTTTTCTCAATGAGTAAATCACTTATATAACAACTTAAAATAAGAGCTAATTTCCCATAATCACTCACTTATAATCATTAGAAAAAAGCATCCGAAACGACACCCTTACTATCACCTAAAACAGTCATCTCCTCCACATGTCCAGTTGTTACCCTGGACAGCTCTCTCGTACAGTTTCCGCTGTGTCTCCTAGGTGCCTAGGCAGCAGAGGGAAGCCGTTCTGCTCCGCTCTAGATTACTCACCACTTGTACTCCGTAATGGATGTGAGCCAGAGTGAAGGCTGCTGTGAGAGCATAGAGGAGAAGACTCTCGAGGTGGGAGGCTGCTGCGCCCACGGTCACCGCGGCCACAACCAAGAAGAGAGGAAGCAGCAACCAGTTCAAAGTCGGGCACCGCGTGCTGCTCATTTGGCAAACAATTAGCTGACACTTGAGAGGAGCAAGAAGAGGGAGTATTAATTAGCAAAGCACTTTCAAAACCGGCCACATTTAAAAAGCTTTCAAGAATGTTGTCAATAGTTCTCAGTTGCTCAGGGCCCCATCGGCCCTGATCCCACCCTTGAATCTTGGGACCAGATCAGAAGAGACTAAGACAATGGAGAAAGGGTGTCGTGCTGGTGCTGGTTAATCTCCGGTCTCAGCTCGACTAGATTTATAATCATCTCGGAAACACACCTCTGGGCTTGTCTGTGGAGGGGTTAGCAGAGAGGGTTAAATGCAGAAAGGCGGCCCTCTGCATGTGGGCAGCACTACCCATGCACTGCTGTCCTGACTGAATAAAAAGAAAGAAGTGAGCCAGACTGGTCCCCTCACGGCCTCCTCTCTGCAGCTGCAGCGACCACCACTGTGACCTGACACCATGACTCCCCCACCCTGATGAGCCGCTTCCCTTCTTAAGGCAAAGCCAGAACAAACCCTTCCTTCAGTTGCCTGTCAGGCACTCCGCCACGAGACAAGAAAAGAACATCGGTCTACAGAAGGGGTTTTCTCAGTGTAGTACCCGCTGAGATAAAAGAAGTAGCTCCCAATTTTAAAACTTTATGCTATATGAACTACTCCAAAACAGCCTCCTAACCCTCAACATAACTAAACTTCTTCATGGTAATGAAGAGGAAGCTTGACCTCCGACCAGCAATGAACACCTTTCAAAGGTGCTTTGATTCTTTTTTTGTTTGTTATTTTGGTTTTGTGACACATGGTCTCATGTGGCCCAGGCTGGTCTTGGATTACAGGTATAAGCTAACACATCTGGCTTATATAATTTTTTTAAATAAAATGTCTTACTGTGATATTGGCAAAAGCTGTTCCAACCATGAAGTAGAATATTCTAGGGTGTAGTTCTAAAATATCTGAAGGAGATCGGAGGATCCACACTGTAGACAGAGTGAAGAGCAAACACGGAGAGAAGAAGGGGACCATAGCTTCATAAATGGAATTGTGTTTCAAGGTGTTGCTTTTATAACTTCTGAAAAATCAATACAGAACATCATTACACACAGGACACATGCCTAACACTCTCCATCTCCAGACTTCTTTAATACGCATGCTTATTTACAATCCTACGGCACAGAGAACCAACATCACTAACTCTACTTTAAAGCCAAGCTAAGTTAGGGTGAAATACTCTAAATTTATAATTGCTACCAAAGCCAGGATTACAACTAAGGTTCTGATTCCCGATCAATCCCCCCCTCCTCCTTCATTTCTGTATTTTCAGACAGAGTCTCATTATATAGCCCTGGCTGCCTGGAACTCCCTAATGCAGAATGCTGGCATTAAAGTGATGTACTATCATGCCTGGCCCCTTTCTTACTTTTAAACCAAATGGTCAACAGTTGTGCCAGGAATGGAATGATGGGGCTGGAGAGGTGGCTTAGAATAGTGATTCTCCACCTGTGGGTCACGACTCCTGGTGGGGGTGGGGGTTAAGCAACCCTTTCACAAAGGTCACATACCAGATATTTACATTATGATTCCTAAAAGTAGCAAAATTATAATTGTGGAGTAGCAACAAAATAATTTTATGATTGGGGTCACCATATGAGGAGCTGCATTAAAGTGTTGCAGCATTAGGAAGGCTGAAAACCACTGGCTTAGAGGTTAAAAATCCTCTGTTTTTCCAGGGGACCCAGGTTTGGTTCCTAGGACCTACATGGAAGCTCATCTATAACTCCAGTTCCAAGGGACCCAACACCCTTGGAACTGGACCTCTTCTGGTCTCCCTGGGCAACATGAATGCATGTGGTACAAGCAAAATACTCATCCACATAAAAATAAAAAAATTCATACAGATTTGGACCAGATATATTTCACACAAAAGACCCTGAAGAGAGATGGCCAGCACATTTTGGTGTCCCTAAATACATTGGGACTCATTTAAACAGAGCTCCAAATTCTACTCTTGGGGGCTGGAGAGTTGGCTCAGCGGTTAAGAGCACTGACTGTTCTTCCAAAGGTCCTGAGTTCAATTCCCAGCAACCACATGGTGGCTCGCAACCACCTTGAATGAGCTCTGCTGGCATGCAGAAGATTGTATACATAATAAATAAATATTTTTAAAAATTCTACTCTTGGTGTGCTTATTAATCATACTACCTTGGACAACCTGTGGTCCAATCAAAGCCTCATCTATAAGAAGAGGCTTGCAAATCTTTTTTTTTTTTTTTTTTTTTTTTTGGTTTTTCGAGACAGGGTTTCTCTGTGGCTCTGGAGGCTGTCCTGGAACTCGCTTGGTAGTCCAGGCTGGTCTCGAACTCGCAGAGGTCCGCCTGCCTCTGCCTCCCGAGTGCTGGGATTAAAGGCGTGCGCCACCAATGCCCGGCAAGGCTTGCAAATCTTAAATGCTATTACTTTTACTTACTTTCTTTCTTTCTTTTTAAGACAGGGCCTTACTATGTACTATTGGCAGACCAGGTACTCATGCAGCCCAGGCTGGCCGGCCTCAGCTTCTGAAGTGCTAGGATCATGAGTATGGCCCACATTTGGCTAAAAATGTATCACTTCTATAAATGACCATCATCACAATAGAAGCTATAGAGAGCTTGTCATGACTTGAGTAAGAGCCTGTAAGACAGATCTGAGTACTAAAGTAGGAAGAACAAGATAAAACAACCTAGCAGAGGACCAGGTAGCCCCAAATGACTGCGATGTGAAAGGGCCAAGTCAGGGCAGCCAGCAAAGACGGGGTGCGCGCAAGTCGGGAATGAAAGTTCACCTACAAACAACCTCAGAAGCTGTTCCCCAAGGCAGGAGAGTCTACACAACCTCGTATGTGAGAATGGCAGCACAGTCTGATCCTAACCCACACACATTAACCTCACTATAATCCTTCACAAAAGGAATGTGAACAGATCAATGTTTAACAAGAAAATACCCACTCCTTATGAGTCACTCACAAAAATGACAAACTTGAAGCCTGCTGAGCCCGAAACCTTAACAAAGTAACTAGCCGTTTTATAGTATAATTGAGTTGACTACACTAGACAACAGGAATAACCTCAGTCATCAAGTTCTCACTCTAGATCTGAAACAGAGATTTTTAAACCTTTTCAAAATGTCCAGATTATAAAAGCACACAGAGACAGGCAGATCTCTGTGAGTTCCAGAATAGCCAGGGCTACACAGAGAAATCCTGTCTCAAAAAACAAAAAATAAAATAAACAGTTCCTTAAATTCTATAATACAACTGTTATTAGAAAAGGTTGCCTTTTCTTTCTTTCCCCATGTCTTAAAAGAAAATACTTACCTAAAAAAGTTTAATAAACTCATTGGAAGAGTCACACATAACGCACAGCCTAAAAAGAAGAAAGAATATTTAAATTATTATGAATTTTAAGAGTGATTATTTTCGTAGTAACTACATCCATGAGAACATCCAATGTTTTTGGGCCAGTAGTCTTCAGGCTCAAGTTTATTACTACAGCAAACTACTCTCCTACACAGCAGTTGTAGATACAGAGACTGGCAGTGCAGTTTGTAAAGCCAGCAGAGTCTGAGGTCACCAGTCTAGACTTCAATTTCGGTTTGCCACCAACTGGTCACAGAACCATGACACTCTGAGCAACCTTTTAGTCAGTGCCTCATTTTGTTTTTGAAGCAGAAAAATAGTAGTACCAACTGCACAGAGCTTGAAAACTGCATGTATCCTTACATGCAAAGACACCAAAACAGCGCCCAAGCCAAGCAAACTGGAAAATTATGTAACTACTACAGAGTGGGGGGGGGGGGCAGACAACACTTGGGATTTGTTGCTTCCTGTTTATTTTTAATCTTCCTGGAATCTTCAGTTTCTCTCCTCCCCACCCTCTCTATACAATGTCTATTTCCCTTAAACCTAAACACGATGCACGGCCATTCTGAGAAAGCCCACCGATTCTGGGGCCGTATGGCATAGCTCACCCCGTCATCACATTCCATCGTTCGCTAAGTTCTAGAGCTTTCAGTTCTTAAAATTCATCTGCCCCTTTAAGGCTGCCTGGTCTACAGAGCAAGTTCCAGGACAGCCTCCAAAACAATACAGCAAAACCCTGTCTCAAAAAACAAAAAAACAAAACAAAACATTCATCTGCCCCAGGAACTAAACTCTTGAAATCTAAGCATAGGAAGCATGGAGACAGTCTGAGTTCTACGTAAGTTACCAAAGGAAAAGACTACCTTTATTTCTTCTCTAAGTGGAATTTATTCTATGTTCTGTAAAAGACTTATCTCTTAAACCCAAAACTTCAAGTATACAATGGAGATGGAACCCATATATGCACACCTGCTTTTCATATTGCCATAATTTAAGGCCAGACTTTAAAATACAGAAAATAGAATCACTACAGAAAAAAAAATTAGACAACTCATTTAAAAAAAGTGAAATGAGATTATACTCTGAGAGTACTGTGACCACAAAAAGCATCTTTCTTATTCCTCACAATTCTAATTTATTACATAGGAATTAAAAAAAAAACAAGATGGGGGACTGGAGAGAGTTGGCTCAGCTGTTGGGAGCACTGTCTACTCTTCCAGAGGACTCAAGTTCAATCCCCAGCACCCACATGGTAGCTAATAACCATTTGTAACTCTAGTTGCAGGAGATTTGATACAATCATCTGGCCTCTGTAGTGCACAGACATATATAAGTTCAAGCAAACACTCATACACATAGAATTAAAAATATATAAAACTAAGCCATCAACATGGGGCTGAAAGATATCTCAACAGTTAAAGAGAACTGTACCCTACTCTTGACTGGAATCCAGGATCAAGTTCCAGCACCCACGTGGTAGCTCACAACCGTCTGTAACCCCAGATTCAGAGGAGCCAATGCCCTCTTCTGGTCTCCATAGGCACATGGCATGCACATACACAGACATATATGTAAACAAAACATCCATACACATAAAATAAAACTAAAGACAAACACATACACACAAACGTCCACCAAGTCAAAAAGTATCTTAGAGAAGACAACAAGAGAACTGTAAGCAGTCAACTCAAAAGATTAATGCACACAAAACACAGGGGCCTAAAGGAAGTACTCAACAATTCTATTGGGAAAATAGGCTACAGTCTAAAAACACACAGAAAGACAAATATAAATGGTTATTAAGCTTAGCTAAGTTCACTCATGAGAAATGCAAATTGAAACTATACCAGTGTATCATTTCTTACCCATAGGTTAACAAACATGGCAATATACTGCAATGGTGAAACTATCAATAAACAAGCATTTTCACAACAGCTCATATGCATGTAAAATTACTATAATAATATGTGCAACAAGCCAGGTGTTGGTGGAGCACGCCTTTAATCCCAGCACTCGGGAGGCAGAGGCAGGCGGATCTCCGTGAGTTCGAGGCCAGCCTGGTCTACAGAGTGAGTTCCAGGACAGCCTCTAAAACAATACAGGGAACCCCTGTCTTGGAAAATAAAACAAAACAAAAAAATAATGTATGCAACAGCAAAAGCCTGGAGACAATCCAAATGCTGGCTGAAGCACTCTGGTACAATCTACACAATAAAGTCTCGGGAAGCTGGGAGAAGAGATGAGGAAAACCCTATACACTATCATGGATATACTAGCAAATGGAGGGGGCTACAAACAAGGTGATAAAATGATACGTGTATTTCTAAACCATAATTAAAAGCCAGCATAAGGTTGGAGAGATGGCTTAGTGGGTAAAGACACTTGTTGTCAAGCCCGACAACCAGAGTTCTACCACGGTGAAGGAGAGTTGCCCTCTGACCCCCCCCCCCACACACACACTCTCTCTCTCTGAATGAATAAATGACAAGCAAAAACTGAAATGGTTAAGGAAAAAGGAGAATAGGTAGAATAAAAGCTATACTTCTTTGAGTATATTCCCTTATAGATTCACTTTGTAATCATGAATGTTTTCTGCAACTATGAAGAATAAATTTCAAAAGAAAAATCAATGCTTATAAGTTGAAGTAAATGTTTTGTTTGTTTGTTTGTTTGTTTTTTTTGAGACAGGGTTTCTTTGTGTAGCTTTGTAGACCAGGCTGGCCTCCAACTCACAGAGATCTGCCTGTCTCTGCCTCCTAAGTGCTAGGATTAAAGGCGTGCACCACACCGGCTGGCTGTAAAATTTAAATGTATACTTCCAAAAATGGAGTCAGAACACAAAGTGGTACCTTTGCAGATTCCATTTGGAACCAACAGTTGAATTCATGTGGTATTTTTATCATAAACTGACTTTAGTCCCCTACCTGCCTGCTAAATTAAGACTAAACAAAGACCCTCAAAGTGTGAGTCCTTTTAGGTGCCGAGCATGCACGTTGGAACCAACATACAATACCTGAACCCTCTCACCACTATTTATAACAGAGGCAACTAGGCATTGTGTGCTCATATTAACTTTGGAGGTATCTGTAGGCAGCTGACTGTGTGCGGGACAACACTAGTAGTTTTGAAAGCAGGAAAAGGCAGACTCCAGGCTATTACTTTAGGGGTCCTAGAAAAAATACTGAAGACCTAAGAATAAAATGCATACATGCAGGACATGGATCTGTTGCTCCTACCTACTCCCGCTGGTGACCCTGGTAAAGGCTAGAAACTAGGTAAGGCTCAGAACTGTTGACTGCTGTATGGGCACAGACCTTCCTGCGGTCTGGGCCACATTTAGGAACCACTCTGTTTTACCAGCAGATGTTTATCTGGATAAAGTGGCTCTGTTTCATTTATTTATTTTTAAGCCTTGAAAAAGTTAATTTCCTTCTCATACCATTTAGTGAATCTCTCAGTCAAGCAGCTTATCCCATGGAAGTTTACTGCATTTCATATTTAAATGTAAAATTTCAAGACTAGGAACATTTACTGTATGAGGTATCTTTAAGCAGCAACCACATGCTTTCATGGACACTTAAGCCAGGCATGGTGACACCCATCTCTAATCCCAGCACTCAGGAAGTGGAGGCAATAGGATCAGGATTCAAGGGCAGCCTTGGTTACATAAAATCCTGCCTCAAAGAAACAGAAAGCAGGGGAAAAAATGGGGCTGAAGGGATGGGTGGACAAGAGCCCCAGAAAGGGGGTGATGGTATATGTTGGAGTAGGTGAGATGGCTTCTGTTAACCGTGCAGGTTACCTTCCTAGGGAGCGACAGGCAGGGCACAAAAATGACAACCACAACCAAAACCTCCAGTGCTCAGTGACACAGGAGGGAAGGTATCCAAGAGGAAGACAGGTTTAGTTTTTTTCAGCAGACAGAGTATAAAAGTCTCCACATTTCATCTACTCTTTCAAATTAACAATTTTCAACTTGAAACAGGTATGAAATGTCCACTAAATGTAGGTCCTCCAAGACAGTCTAGACTAAACCAGATAACCAGATAACAACTCTACAAAGCTTATGTGCTGATCTACTTTGGTATTTCTGTCCAATTAGAAAAAGCTTGGTGCTCAACAACAACAACAACAACAAAAAAACCCTTGTTTTCTTTAACATTCTGGTAGAAATCCTATAGGGTCGTAGGTTATTCTGCTTGCTGGAGAACAAAGAAAGAGTGTTATCACTTGCTATGGTCAAACACTGGCTTTTGATAACAAAGCGAGGGTTAAAACAGGCTTCGACATGGAGCTCCTTACCAATAATCATTGCAGTGAATAGGTCTCTATATAAGAAATTAAACAGGAAAGGTTCATACCAGGCCTCAACTCCCACCACTGCAGTCACTATGTAGACAAAAGAAATAGTCTGGAAGGAAAACAGACAGAACGAAGAGGCATCAACAGCTGACAATCCAGAGAGCCAACAGTGCTTTATGCATCATTAAGTCTAATCAGAGTGATTACTTAAAAAGTGCTTACATTTGTTATATGGCAAATCCCCTGGCCTATAAGAGACTTCCTCCTCCAATACTGCTATCAAATAGCTGCCGTGTAGGCAATGCAGGCAAGTGGTCACCATTTGGAGCCCTTCAAAGGCAGTTAAGTCATAGGATGATGGCTTGATGTGCCCACCTCACCAACCTCCTCCATCAGCAAACACACCCCAGCTTCCCATGTCTCTATTGGCTTCTTATGGCAACCCCAGAAGCTGAGACTCTACAGCAGAGAACACAGGTCTATCCAGAAGACAAAGCTCTCTACTCTCTGAAGTTGGCAAGGAACAGAAGGCCAACAATTCAGTCATATGTACATACCTTTCTCCAAAGATAAAGTAAAAATCAACATGTCAAACTAAATTAAATTTTAATACAACAGTGGCATTTTTTAAAAGCTTTTATCATTTAGAAATACATTACAAAATACTTAACCACATTTCCTGTAAAAGAAAACACAGACAGCATACAAGAAACTAGAGGCCATGTGTTGACAACTGCTAAAGCTAAGCACTAAGTACATTAAAGGTTCATTGTCAAGTTTTACTTTTGAAATTGTTTGAAATCAATGATGTGCGGCGGCGGCCCACACCTTTAACCCCAGCACGGGGAGGCAGAGGCAGACTGAGATGGAGGCCAGCCTGATTTACAGGGTGAGTTCCAGGACAGCCAGAGCTACACACAGAAACCCTGCCTGGAACCCCCCCCCAAATAAACCAATGATGCCGGGAAGCACAGAATCTATGGAATTTCACATGTTAGGTAAGCACTCTAGTACTTTATTGTATCTCCACCCCCAGGAAAAGAAAATATAAAAGCATCAATTCCTTTTTTAAAAAAATTTATTAAAAAATATATTTTTTATTTTGTGTGATTTGCCTGCATATGTGTCTACGCACCACAACTTTCGGGTGCCCAGAGGCCGAAAGAGGGCATCAGGTTCCCTAGAACTGGGTTATAGACAGTTGTAAATTGCAACATGGGTGCAGGGAATTGAACCTGGGGCCTCAGAAAAAGGGAGCCAGTGCTCTTAACTACTGAGTCACCTCTGTAGCCCCACACATCAGTTCTAACTTGCTAATGCCTAACAGCATTGAAGAAGGGAGTAAAAACTTTAAAACATGCAGACCATTTAATTAGGGCATAATGTATACTTACCACTTGGCTAATGTCATAGCCCCAGGGCAGGAAAAGAATGCCTGTGTTATACTTTTCCCAGTGAGACAGGATGAAAGAAAACAAAACTACCCATAGCAGGAGATAAAGAACAAAAACACTGACGCCAGTCGGTCCTCGTCCAAAGATGGAGTACACAGTCACGACAAAGTAAAGACATGACCAGCTGTCCAGGCCATGGTCAAACAGCTCCCCTAAAGGGGTGCTGGAATTGGTTCTGCGTGCTTGTTTTCCATCTACTCCATCTGCAACAAAACATATCACAGGAAAAAGGTCAGCCTCTGGCTGGCACGGAGAAAGTCAACTTCAGGAGAATAGTATAAGGAAGCAAAACAAGCCATACGAATGTTAAGTGCTGCTCCCGGCTAGTACTCTCAAGTCTAATCTTTAATTCCTACCATTCAAACATTGCAGAAATACAACATGTAATCTCTTTTCTTAAAGATTTGTTTATCTATTTATTTAGTCATTCAGTCATTGTGTGTGTGGGGTGTGTGTGTGTGTGTGTGTGTGTGTGTGTGTGTGTGTGTGTGTGTGTGTGTGTGTGTGCATTGCATCCCCAGGAGCTGGGATGACAGGCAGCTGTGAGCTACCTGCTATGGTTACTGGGACCAGGACTCTGGTTCTCTGGAAGGTCAACAGCACTCTTAACCACTAAGCCATCTCTCCTCTAGCCCTACAATTGCTTCAGGTGGAATCTAAAAGCTCACATCATTACACTGAATGGTGTCATTTTAGATCTAAGAAGGAAGCATTCTAGATGGACTCCAAACTCCTCCAAACGGGGCACAAGTTCCCACAGCATTCTCACAGTTGCTCCTCATAATTATCTAGATGAGCACTTCTTGCTCTAGGAACCCAAAGTACTTTAGTCATCACACCCATCACCTCCTCTGTGACCAGGGCCTTTCTCCACAGCTCTGCTCGTTCCCTCCTTTTAAGAGCTTTCAGATATGCATACAGTAAGGTGGTCAGCAAATATGACTGAATCTGTTGAACTTGTACAATGCACTCACTATTCTTGGTGCTATAAAAATGACAACAAGGGGCAGGAGAGACGGCTTAGCAGTTAGGAACACTGGCTGCTCTTCCAGCACCAAACCATGGGGTGATTCCCAACACCCAACCGCGTGGTCCACAAATGTCTGTAATTTTAATTCCAGGGGATCTGACAGCCTCTTTTGGCCTCTGCAGGCACCAGGCACAAACATGGTATACTGACATATACACAGGCAAAACATCCCAAATATGTAAAATTAAATAAAAAAATAAGAACCTTACAATTGAGTTTGCTCTTGGAGTGTTTATAACTGAGAAAGGGACAGAAGACAATCACTAAAGGCACCGTGTGTCACAAACCAGGAAAGGGGCCAAAAAAGGCAAGGGTTCCCTTCCGATAACCTAGACTGGCCTTTAGAACAGGATGAAATGTGAGTGGGGACATAAAGACTGAGTTGGATTTCAGCAGGTAAGAGATACAGGAGTATGCCATTTCAAGAGCAGAGAAGTGCCACCAGCAACGCATGCTGATGCAAACCACAGGGAACACTCAGAAGCCCGAGATGTCAGAGAGCACAATTGACGCTCAGAAAATGCAAGCAGTATAGCTTGATGTGTGTGAGGCAGTAAAGAAGGGTGGAGAAATGGTTCAGCAGTTGCTGCTCTTGCAGAGGACTCAGATTCGGTCCCTAGCATCCACACAGCAGCTCATGACCACCCCTGACTCTGTTCTAGATTGGATGCCTTCATCTGGCCATCTAGGACACATGGTGCACACATATACATGCAGGCAAAAAATTCATACATTAAAAAAAGATAAAGTAAACCGTGTACACGGTTCTCTATTAAAAACAAACAAAACAAACCAGGTGGTAGTGGCGCACGCTTGGGAGGCAGAGGCAGGAGGATCTCTGTGAGTTCGAGACCAGCCTGGTCTACAAGAGCTAGTACCAGGACAGCCTCCAAAGCCACAGAGAAACCGTGTCTCGAAAAACCAAAACCAATCAAACAAACAGAACAAAACAAAAACATCTAATAAGAGATTTGAGCCACTTCAACATTTTAGGGACTAGAGGAAGCTATTAAAAGAAGTATGAAAGAGTAAGAAACCATGAGACAAGAGAAAACATCATGTGTGCTAAAACAGTGTGACTGGCAGGCTGGAGGCAGACCCTTGTCAGTTAGCCTAGACAGAGACGGAGTACGCGGGATTGAAGAGTTGCGGAAACAATAACAAAGGGAACCGGCACCGGGAGTGGAGTGCAGACTCCCACTCAGGTGACAAGGAAGGAGGGTTGAGGTGAAGGCCAGGCTGAGCCACAAGAGAAACTCAAAGAAAACCAAGCAGGTAAAAGTGAGAGGATATACAATGATGAGAGCCAAGACCCAAGAAGGCAACAGTTTCAGCCTGATCCAGGAGAGCAGCAGGGTTCCTGCAAAGACGGAAGTAGGAGGCCAAGCAGACGGGCAGCAGTGTGGGAGACATGGGGTTGGGATCCTTTTCTGTTTCTATGTAGCTGAAATATCTAAAACAAGCAAACAAACAAACCAAAAAACCTTTCTCTTATTTGCTGGCTTAACAATTTTCTAATTTCTGTGCAAATCATATAGTTAAACAATCAGATACACAAATACATATTAAGTAGATTTTGTACATTTTTTCAGCTTCACTCCAGCTTCCTACGTTGGCTGGGTCTGAGTATGCTTCAGAACGTAATTTCTTCCTCAGAATGGTGATGATTTATAGGATATTCCATTATGAAAGACATGCTCAACCCTAACAAAACTACTACAGTGCCAAATAATTTATATAACATTCCTACAGTCACACTTAATAAAGATTATAAACTGCCTCATGTTAGTTCACGACTAGTTCTGCAACAAACTGCTTGTGTCAAGTCAGGATCTTTGCAGAAACTGTGGATCGGAAATAGCTGGAACATGAGGCTTATAAGGCCGTACGAAGCGCTGTGGATAGCAAGAGTTCACGGGTGGCCTCATCTCTCCCCGGTCCTCAGGGCGACCAACTCCACGAGCAGCATTTCAAACTGCGCTCACCTCCTCTAACAAGTGTATAAAGCCTCTATGCAAACAAGTAACCTTTAGCCCAGCTTCCTTGCCTGGCTCTTAGAGACCTCACTGGTCTCTTCACTCTTACAGCTCTTACCACCCACTATGTCAGCACTAACATACACGTTACACTGGTTCTGTGAGAACAAATGACTTTTATCTGAAAAGACTTAAACAACCTGAACTTCAGGTCTGCTATTTTACATGTATTTGAAAACCAAATATTGACCTGCTACTGTGTGCCAGGCCATGTTCTAGAAACTTAGGATGCAATAGTAAACAAGAATACTCAGTCTTAATATTTTGTCAGAAGTCCTTGCCAAACTTAAAGCAAAAATAATGTCTTACTCCAAGAGCTGGCAACCCTTGTGGTAAAGGCCAAGTAACGGATACTTTAGGCTTCGTGGGGCACACCCTTTGTGAGACTTTGCTGTAGCTTCTCAATGGGTCTTTACTGCAGGAAGGCAGCCACAGACACCACGTAAAGAAATGTGTCAAGGGAGAACCCGGTTTCTTCAGAGGTGTGGTCCTTGGTAGGCTGCCCGGCTCTAACCACACCCACACACACGGCAGCTCTAACTGGATTCAGTGGGTTAAAAAAGAAAAGAGGACATGAAGTTGGCAAGAGATGTGGAAGGGGCTCCGAAAAAAGTTGAGGAGGAAGGAGGGTGATACAACCTAAATTTATAATATATTATATATGCAGGAAATTACTAAAGAACTCTTTTTTTTGTTTTGTTTTTTTGTTTTTTTACGAGACAGGGTTTCTCTGTATTGTTTTGGAGGCTATCGGTCCATACTGAAGAACTCTTAAAGAGGTCTTGAACAACAAAAATAAAACGTACAACAAAAAAATCAACAAAAATCTTACTTCAAAAAATAAATATAGTTCTCCAGATGTGACTTGTAAGCAGTCACCTTCTAATTCCTACTTTATTCTGGATCCCTGGCAGTAAGTGACACTGCTTCTCATAGATCCAAAAATATAAATGATCAATTTGAACAAGACACTAACAGACCTTAGTGAAAATGAGTTAAGCATCGAAGAAAGTATTAATTTAGTGAGTGCTTAGTCTTGCAGGCATGCCTGCCAGCCAGAAACTAAATGGCACTTGCCAGTCTCTTACCTAGAGTGTAGGCGGCAAAGTTGAGGATGCCCACGACAATCCACACCCAATCAGGCACGTGCTTGTGACCTGGTGCTGCAAAGGAAAGCAACCGAGATTTTAATAGTCTAACTATAGCAGCTCTCACCAGCCCACACCTGCTGCCAGTGAGCAATGTTGCTGCTTGTTAATGAGAAGTTACTTCATAATGTATTCTGAATGCAGAACTGAAATATTAAAAGTTAGCAGGTCCCAACTCACAGTTTTAACAAGCTATGTCAAAAATACTTTTAGAAGCCAGGTGGTGGCTGCACACGCCTTTTACCCAGCACTTGGGAGGCAGAGGAACGAGTCTCTGTGACTTCGAGGCCAACCTGATCTACAAAGTGAGGCGAGTCCCAGCCAACATTTTTTTTTTTTTTTTGGTTTTTCAAAACAGGGTTTCTCTGTATTGCTTTGGAGGCTGTCCTGGAACTCATTCTACAGACCAGGCTGGCCTCGAACTCACAGAGATCTGCTTGTCTCTGCCTCCAGAGTGCTGGGATTAAAGGCGTGCGCCACCAACGCCCGGCTGACTGTCAGTACCTTTACACAGAGAAATTGTTTTGAAAATCCAAAAAGAAAAAAAGGATTTTAGAAAAGGTCAGCTGTAAGACTCAGGCCTGCATGCAGTTCCAGCTACTCAAAAGGTGAAGGTAGAAGTATTGAAAGTTGGAAGCCAGATCGGGCAATTTAATAAGACCCTACCTCAAATCTGAAAAAAAAAAAATCAGCTGGGTTTACAGCTTAGTGCCTAGCATGTGTAAGGCCCTGAGTTTAATCCCTAACATCAAAAAAATAAAAATAAAAAGACAACAACAGAAGGCTGGTAAGGGCCATTTCCAGAGGAGAGCAGGGGTCATCTACAGGGCGGAAATGAACAGAGGAAGGCGACACCGCATCCCTTAAGACGAGAGGCAGTTTTCCTCCTAGGACGGTTATTCCTCGCATTGTAGGCATGGCGGGCCCTACTTATAATGAATTCTCAGACAGTCTCATAACTCTAAAATTCTGCCTACATGTAGATCCTTCTTTTTTAAGTTTGTGAGCTTATGCTATACGGTAAGGCTGGTCCCAGAACCCTGACTCCCTTGCCCCCACATACACACAGCTTTTAATTATTCACTATTCACAAAGTCTTGCTGCTTTTTAGAAGGTATATTTAAATTTTGGTTTTTTGAGACAGGGTTTGTATATATGTGTAGCCCTGGCTGTCCTGGAACTCGCTCTATAGACCAGGATGGCCTCAAACTCAGAGATCACCTGCCTCTGCCTCCCAAGAACTGGAATTAAAGGTGTGCACCACCACTGCCCGGGACTATTATATTTCTAAAACTTAATGGAAATGTAGATAATATTATTAAAACACAACTTAGTTTTATATACAATCCCCCACAGCTTATATAACATTCTAATACCCGAAACTTTCAGAAACATAAGCATCTTAGATTCAGAAATTAACTACCCACACCTTATTTTTTGCTACCCAAGACAGTTAAAATTATGTATTAAGACAATAAAACTCTTACCAGAAGCATAAAAGTCAGGATCGAAGTATGTCAGAAGTAGAAAGTTGAATACAACCAGCAGAAATCCAGAAAAGGTTATAAGATTGGGAGCCAGCCAAGTAGGAAATACCTGTGTTTTTTTTTTCAAAATAGTTGCAAATAAGTAAAGAATGCTCTGTTCAATAACTATCACAACATACAAAATTAGGTCATCAAAGCTACTAGTTTGAAAGATCATACGTAGGTGTTCTGTGTATTAAAATGCAAACAATAACTCCAGCTGGTAGATGGGCCTTTCTTCCTCCTGTCCCTTATCTTTAAATGATTCTTTAATACACAAACCTTTATAATGATAGCATTCAGTTAATTTTAGGTTTCAAAGGCCTTTTATAAAAATGATCAGTCACAGTAGTGTACATACTTAGATTCTAACAGGGAGATGCCCCAAAGGGGAGAACTGACCGGGGATGGGTGAGAGGCGACACCTGCATTACAGCTTACTAAGAACACTGTTGGCTAGGCCTGCAAGCACAGCCTGTAACCTCAGCTAATCAGGACAGTGAGGCAGGAGGATTCCAAGTCCAAAGCAACTCAGTGAGTCTCTATTTTAAAAGTAAAAAGTGCTGGAGAGTGGCTTAGTAGTTAAGAGCACTTGTTCATCCAGAGGACCTGAGTTCAATTCCTAGCACCCCCATGGTGGCTCACAACCATCTCTAACTCCAGTTCCAAAGTATCTGATGCCCTCTTCTTATTAGACATGTACATGGTTCAGACATGCATGTAGGCAAAGCACTAATACACATAAAACAATAAATCTAAAAGCGAATTTTTCAAGAAGCCAAAAGCTGAGGATACAGTTGTGTGTGGACCCCTGTGGTAACATGTATGAGGCCTGAGGTTCAATAACTAGAACAACAAAGAATAAACTGGGAGCTGCAGCAATAAGACTCTAAGAGGAGTTAAAATACTCAAAACTCGTTTATACAAAAATGTACGCCATTATAATCTTACCTTCACTATAGTGTTCCAAAATGGATGCATGACATACAGAGAGAGTGGGTTGGTATCCAAAGCACTGTACTGTTGAGAAATGAAACATTTCAGAGTTAACCCTTAGTTACTAAAATCTACAGAACAACAGTGCAAAATAATCCTAGAGAGCACATCTATTCGTGTGCTTTCCCCCTCTGGATAACAAAACTAGAGCAGCAATATAAACAGGGCAAAACTGTACAGCAGTCAGGTATTACTTTACGGGAAGAGGGAAGGGTCATAGAGAAAGTAAACAGATCAGCCTAAAGCATGGCATTAACCCTAATGCGGTTGCTTCACTCATAAACACCAAGTCCAAACGGCCAGGATCATCACTAACTCATCCGCCCCCATCTCAATCAACTTTACAATGTTGTGGTGTTTCAATAAAGACATTTACACCATGGGTCAGGGATGAAGCTGAGTGGTACAGCCCTGAGTTTGGCCACCAGCACTGAGGGAACGCTTTTACAAGAAAAGAAAAGGTCATGTGTACACTTTCAGTTGTTATAGTTAGTTATTATGCAGGTTGGGAAATATGTATACTGTGCACATTAAACAGACCAGGCACGTTCTCAAGCTCCTTCAACCCTCTTCACCTACAGGTGTCTAGTTGTTCCCTCACACACACACCTGAGTGACCTTTCTGTCTTATTCACCTGTGAACTGAATCTGATAGCCCTTATCTCAGAGGTCTATCACAAGGATTTGGTAAGTTAATAATACATGCAAGACATCTAGAACATTATATAGTAAGTGCAATGTAAGAATTAGCTATTATTATTACAGGAACTGAGCAACCAAAGGAACGACAACCTTCCCAGTAAAAAAAGCAGACCATATAAACGAATGAGCAAACACAAAAGTTAGAGTTGTGTGGTAGTTGAGTTATATTACACCCCAATTACCAACTGAAACATTTAGTAAGAACAAGGGGGGGAGACATGCAAAGAAATTTTAGCAGACAAATTATATGTAAATATGTACAAGTTATACTAATAACTGCTCTCTCTCTCTCCATCTACTAGACAGTGGGAAGAAAAGATACAGAGATATAAAATCACAAAGAGCCAGACAGAGAGATGCGAGCTTTAATCCCATTACTGATACTGAAGCAGAATGACAAGTCCCAGGTCAGCCTGGGCTGCACACTGAGACCCTGCCTCAAAAGAACCCCAAACACCAACAACACGCGTGGCTCAGCAGGAAAGGGCATTTGCAGTTCATCCACAGGACCACGTGGCGGATGAAACTCTTAGAAACTGTCCCCCCACCTCCACACGTGCCACGTCAGGCACATGCACACACATAGACACACACACTGGCCTCAAACTCACAGAGATCCGCCTGCCTCTGCCTCCCTAGTGCTGGGATTAAAGGCATGCGCCGCCGCCACCACCTGTCAGTCAATATTTTCAATGCCTCAAGTATTGAATATGAACAAAATAGAAACTGGAAATGATTAATAGGGTTAGCACAGCCTCACTCAGTAACTCAACAACAGGCTCTCTGTGTGACGCTTCTCTAGCCCATTGCAACCAAAATGGGATAAAAGACCCGACACAGGCAGCAAGAAGACACAGGAGATGGAGACGTGGCTTGCATGTACCGGCCAGAGTCACGCTGGGGCTATTTTAGTCTTTCTGTGACTTAGCAAACTACTCTGTGTAAGGCTTTCACCACATGGGAAGCCCCACAGAAAGAAGACACCTGCACCGACAGCTCACCTGAAGCCAGACCTGGACATCTGGATTGTTACAGCACAAATGACTCACTCAGTGGGAGTGTCCTGGCCTCCACTTAACTAAGCGTACCCACACCGTGTGATGGAGCCAGGAGGCCAGAGAAACTGGAAAAGCACCCATTTCAGGCCCATCTGCTGGAAGAAGTTCAAGTCAGAAGGAACAGTTTAAGGCACAATGAGTAGCTAAAGGGCACAAAGTCCAAAACTCCATTTATTCAAAGACCCTCATTAATTAACTCTCCATAATCTGAATAGATCCAAAAGAAAGGTTTTTGTTTTAGTTTTTTTGAAACAGGGTTCCTCTATGTAACAGCCCTGGCTGTCCTGGAACTCACTCTGTAGACCAGGGTGGCCTCAAACTCAGAGATCCTGCCCCTGCCTCCTGAGTGCTGGAATTAAGGTATGCACTACCACTGCCGGTCCTAAGAAAATCTTTAATGGATATTTCAGTGTGAAAAACCTCTTTTTATAGATGGACACTTTAAGCCTCTACTCCAGAATAGGTTAAGAATAATGTAAAATAAATACCAAAGGGCCATTTTACCCTCTAGGATTCTAATTTGACATTCAACAGCAGTCAGTGAGCTCAAGTATACAAGATCAGTGTATGATTCCAAGGCAGCAAACAACAGCCCTAAACAACACTTGGTGCTCTCCACCTACACCCGTGCTTCTTAAGGCCACACACCATTTAAACAAACTGTAACAGTCCCATGCATGAGTCAAGAGGAGGAAGAATGAATGACAATACTTCCTCACAAGGGGAAAACCAATACAGACTATTAAAGGTGGTGACTAAACTGGACATAGGTGTTTGCTCATGTTTCTTAAATACACTTTGACTTTGCACTGGGATGTTTTGGTACGCCCCAGAGAATGTGAACTTAACAGTTCATCCAGGCAACGCTAGCTTGGTGTATTCTGGCTCCACAGACAACAGGGCATGTCTGACCCTCAGCTGAGCAGTCTGAATTACCTGGCTCTTAAAGTGCTTCTGGTTACCAAGGGCAGAATAAGACTCACCCCTTCCTGAAAGAAGACAGCTTTTCCATACACTAATAAAGCCTCAGCCCCAGTATCGCAATCCTGTGTTTCAATTTGCTCTACAGAGTTAAGCAGAGGAGAGCCTAAATAACAGGCTTTTAAGTAAATGGCAATAGCTTTCCCTGTCACAGCAACTCATCCCTTCATCTGGTCCATACATGCGTCTTGTGTGGCCCCTCTTTGGACACCTTCAGTCTTGCTTGCCTCCTAAGTGTGGTTCACTAGACCAAGAGTTGGAGAGCTTTAGTAAAAGTCTATTAAGTAATAAACACTTTAGGCTTTGGAGGACAATGGTCTCTGCAACAAGTATGCCACACTGCATTGACAGAAAAGCCATCACTGAACATATATAAGCAAATAAGCATGGCCTTGTTCTAATAAAGCTTTATTCGTAAAAGCAGGATCCACTACAGACAGCCCAATTTGCTGCTTGTTAATCCACAGTGGTTAACCAAGGGCAAAAGGAAACTGAGGTGGCATTGAAAGGGAAGGAAACATGGCAGAGGCCTCCAGTCCTCAACAGGGAGGCTCCTCAGACACTTACGTACTCTGGCAACGATCTCACACCACAGCCTTCAGATACCTTCTTCAGTCACTGGCCCCTCAGAACTGTCCCATAGGGACCACTGGGCCACCTCTCTATACCACCATGAGGCTAGCAGTCAAAAGTGAAGCATAAGACTACACTGGCCATTTTAACACTTCATCTTGCTACAGTTAACTCATTCTCTACACTTTCCAGATAGCTTTATTATTAAAATCCAGATTCGATTGCCCTGGAAAGTTAAGTGTGTCTCCAAAACTCTCAGCGCGTAAATTTAGTCATGCTAATAACACCACTCTTAGGTCTCATTAAAAAAAAAAAGTCAAGGGGGCTGGAGAGATGGCTCAGCGATTAAGAGCACTGACTGTTGTTCCAGGTTCTGAGTTCAATTCCCGGCAACCACATGGTGGCTCACAACCACCCTGAATGAGGTCTGGTGCCCTTCGCTGGCATGCAGGCAGAAGACCGTAGACACAATGAGTAAATAAAATATATAAAAAAAGAAAGTCAATAGCCGGGCGGTGGTGGCACAACACCTTTAATCCCAGCACTCAGGAGGCAGAGGCAGGCAGATCTCTGTGAGTTCGAGGCCGGGCTGGACCAACAGCCTCCAAAACAATACAGAGAAACCCTGTCTCATGAAACCAAAAAAAAAAAAAAAAAAAAGTCAAGTAAGGTAGAATTTCTAGGCCACGCCCTCAGGATGGCTATAGCATTACATCTCATCAGTTTTATTTGGATACAGAACCCTGTAATGTCATCTAAAGCAATTATGTCCTCTTTACAGTAAGAGACTTTCATAGTCTGGGTGAAATCCACAATTACTCTAAGCAATATTTGGTCAAACACAATATTTATGAACACCCGTGCTTCCCTACAGAGGCTGTGCACATCCCTGGCGGGAGAATAATAAAACCCGTGTTCCGCGTGCTCGTTCAGTCTGTATCTAATGCAAGACAAGTCCTGGGAAGAACAAGTACATCAAGAGGCAAGATAAGACAGACATGAGCAGCAGCAACCGTGCCGTGAGAGAGCAGGCAGCAGGCGGAAAGAAGGCACTACGGGGACAAGAGCCAAGCCTGGAAACGCTGCCACACACCAAGAAATACCAAGAGCCACCAGCCAGCAGCTGAGGCAGAGGGATTTTCCCTAGCATTCAGACATTGCAGCCCTGCAAGGACCTTGGTTTTCTAGCTTCTAGAACTGAGAAAATAAATTTATGTTGTTTAAGGCCACCTACTGCATAACAATTCCTATGGCATCTCTAGGAAACCAATGATGATGTGATCTAACCCCCATCATGTAGTCAGAGAGATCAGACCAATGGTGTCCTAAAAGGGGAGAAGGCAGTCAGCCAACGTACACAACACTGTATCAAGTAAAAGAAGCCAGACCTGAACGAGAACATGTTTCTACAATGTCCATAACATGTATGGAGCTCAAAAGAAAAGTCATGGGCTAGAGATGACTCAGTGGTTAACAGCATGTACTGCTCTTGCAGAGGATAAGAGTTTGGGTCCCAAACCCACTCCAGGTGCAGGTACTTGAGGGTATGTATGTACACATGATGCAGGTGCTTCAGTGTACATACACCACATGATGTAGGTGCTTCAATGTATGTGTGTATGTATGTATGTATGTATGTATGTACACATGGCGCAGGTACTTCAATGTATGTATGTATGTACGCATGGTACAGGTGCTTCAGTGTATGTA